CCTATGACAATGGTTAACAATCCCACAACACATCAACGATATCCTTACTCAACCTTGGGTTCCCTATCACCAGCTTCCTTGTCCCCTTCTGCTTTCTGGCCCTTGTCACTGGACTCCTGTACCTCGTTAGTCTCATTTGGTTTTACGGGGCTGTCCACTCCCAGGCTGAACAGTGAACCTCGGAGGTAACTTCACCACTGAGCTAAAAGGGTGTCTGGGGGCCACACTCTCGGGGCTTCTCCAGCGGAGGGTTTTTAATGGCTAATTTTTTGGAAGTAGATCACCAGGCCTTTCTTCCAAGGCACCTCTGGGTGGACTTGAACCTCTGACCTTTCAGTAATAGCTGAGCTCAGTTCGCAGTTTGTACTACCCAGGGACTCTGGTGTCTTTGTGTTGTTAGGTGCCCTTGAGTCCATCTGGACTCATAGCGACCCCATGTGAGCGTAGAACTGCCCCATAGGGTTTTCTTGGCTGTAATCTTCACCAGAGCAGATCGCCAGGTCTTTTCTCCGTGGAGCTGCTGGGTGGTTCAAACAGCTGACCTTTCTGCCGAGTGTTTAACCAGTCACCAGGGCTTTTTGCTGTCTTTCTATGCCTCCTAAAATGTCATACTTTGGACATGTTATCAGGAGAGATCAGTCCCTGGAGAAGGACATCATATGTGATAAAGTTGAGAGTCAGCGAAAAAAAGGAAGGCCCTCAACCAGACGGACTGACACAGTGGCTGCAACAATGGGCTCCAGCATAATGATTGTGAGGATGGCACAGGACTGGGCAGTATTTCGTTCTGTTGTACACAGGGTCGCTATGAGATGAAACCGACTCCATCGCACCTAACAACAACAGTAATGTAAGCTCTTGGACATTTGTTTCCTTCTGTGCTATATCCTGGGGGCCTGGAAGCCGGCCCCCACAGGTAGACCGGGTGAATGGCTGATTCTCAGGCAGGACTTGGTGACACGTGGGGCCGCCAGACGGGTAGAAAGGCTGGTGACTCAGAAACCTAAGGGACCCAGGGGACGAAGGAGTGAGTGAGTAGATGACCGGACCTGGGCGCCCGCTTTTTAAGACCCTGACGCTCCTCCCCCATCCTCTTCCCGGACCTCATAAGCCCGAGGGGCACCGCGTGCCCGCCGGCCCGCTCGGGGCTCAAGGATGCCCGTGCCCTGCACTCTGCGGCTCTCGGCCCCGTGTCCGCGCCCGCGCCCTACTCTCCCTGGCTCTCGGACCCCTGTCCTCGCCGGCGCCCTGCACCCCCTGGCTCTCGGCCCCGTGTCCGCACCCGTGCCCGCGCCCTGCTCTTCCCGGTTCTCGGACCCGCGCCCCCGAGTCCGCGCACGCGCCCTGCGCTACCCGGTTCTCCGACTCACGTCCGCGCTCTGGGCGGCCGCCGGGTCTGGGCCTCGCTCCCCGCGGCGCGGCACGTGCTCGGCAGGCACCCTCCACGCCCAGCGGGCCGGGCCAGTTTCCGCGGGTGGGTGGCGGGAAGCAAACGCAGGTGCCAGCTGGGGACAGCCTCAGAGAAGCCCTGTATGCCACACAAAGGGAAACTGAGGCCCGGCGAAGGGACCTAGTTCGCCCAAGATCACATGGCCGCGCAGTGGCCGCCTTTCCTGGCCTCTCGGACGCGAGTGAAAGTCACGCTTTAATGGGAGTTTTCGGCGGGCGCTGCTGAGGGGTGGGGGTGGGAGGGAGGAGCATGGGCTCGGCTGGAGCTCTCCTGCCCACTTCGTGCCGTCTTTCATTCACTCAACAAACATCTCCCGAGCGCCGTCTGTTGGCCGGGCCCCGGATTACAGCATGAGCAGACATCCAAGGTCCCTGCCCACATGGTGCCCACCTTTCAATAGGTCGGGAGGCCTTAAACAAGCAGCCAAATGCGCATAGGACACACAGCAATGATAAGTACCGCGAGGAAAGAAAATAAAGCCGGATAAAGGGCGAGAGAGTGACGGGTGGCGGTGGGAGGTGTTTTAAGTAGAGTCATCAGCGTCCTCTCACAGAAGGTGACATCTAAGCACACGAAGAATTCAGACAGCTGACTGAAAAGCCTTTGGGGCAGAGGAAGGAGCAGTGCAAAGGCCCGGAGGCAGGAGGGGGCCCGGGTGTGGGGAAACAAGAGACGGAGATGAGGTCCCAGAGAAAGCTGTGTCCCCAGTGGGTCTGCTGAGGACCTGGGATTCCATTCCCAGGGTGATGGGGGCTCTTGGGAGGGAAGCATCAGGCTTCACAGACTGCTGGTTGGGCCCAGGGGGATGGAGACTGGGCCTGTGCAGCCTGAGCAGAGAAGGTTCTGGATAAACGCTTGAAGGATGGAGCTGAACCAACAAGCAAACACAAGGAAATCATTCTTCCTGCCTGCCTGGATGTCCCTCTTGGCCTTAGCTATAGGGCACCGTTCCCAGCCCCTGCAGCCTCCCCACAACTGCATCCCACTGTACCAAGAAGAGGCTGCAGGTTTTGGGGCCAGGAGTGACCCCACTTAGAGCTGCAGTTCCCCAATGCACAGGGGGTCACAACAGTGACAACAGCTCAGCCAGGTGGGGTGACCCATGGTGGGGGCTGCTGGTGCCAGGGCTGGCTTCACAGGCATGTGACCTGTGCGGTCACGGGGCCCCGCTTGGTTTAATGCTCGGCTGCTGCCGACTTGAAATTATTAATAACTGTGGAACAAGGGCACTGAATTTGCATTTTCTGGGCCGCATAAACTGTTCAGCCGGTCCTGCCTGGTGTGATGAGCCTCTTTGTGTGGAAAAAAGAGGGAAGCTGCTCTTCCCCCAAGGCTCCACCACACAGACGGAGGAATCCTGACACCGGCAGGGAAGGGGGTGTGGAGAGACTTTTGAACAATCCAGAACCACTTCCTCTGCCCATGGTGCCTCCTCAGAGGGACCGCTGGGACCACCCCAGCAGCTAAAGTGCCTGGCTCTGTCACAGCACCGATTTGTTTCCTTCTGGATCGGACAGTGCAGATTTACTTACTGAATTATGTGTCTTATTAATAGAAGCTCCAGGGAGTGGAGAGTGTGACTGGGCGTCCCTGTAGCCCCCACACCTGGTGCGTAGTTCTGTAAAAAACCAAACCCATTGCTATCGAGTTGATTCTGACTCATAGCGACCCTATAGGACAGAGTTGAACTGCCCCATAGGGTTTCCAAGGAGCCGCTGGTGGATTTGAACTGCCGACCTTTCGGTTAGCAGCCGAGCTCTTAACCACTGAGCGCCGCCAGGGCTCCTGGTGCATAGTAGGGCCTGATAAATATTTGTTGAAGGAGTTATACTTACCTATAAAACAGAAATCATTTCACCTTTTAATTAATATGGTGCATGGCTGCACTCTAAGTAGCCCTGGGATAAAAAACCAAACAGAAAAACCTGTTACCACAGTTGCTTCTGACTCATCGTGACACCATGCGCTACAGAGTAGAGCCGCTCCCTACGATGTTCTTGGCCCTCATCCTTACGGAAGTAGATTGCCAAGACTTTCTTCTGCAAGAGCACCGAGTGGGTTCAAACTACCAACCTTTAGGTTAGTGTTATTGTTGGGTGCCGTCAAGTCAGTTCCAACTCATAGCGCCCTCTAAGGTTTCCAAGGAGCCGCCGGTGGATTTTAACTGCTGACCTTTTGGTTAGCACGTGAGCTCTTAACTACCGAGCCACCAGGGCTCCACTTTTAGGTTAGTAGTCCGGAGCAAACCGTTTGTGCCACCCGAGGAACCCAGCCTTGGGATAAATACTCTGAGTCGGAACTGACTTGACGGTAATAGGTTTTTTGTTTTTGTTTTTAAACAGGGTGCTAAAAACCGTTTACATTTAATACACTAGACTGCGATCCACGCGGGCGGCGGCCTGGCCTTCCTGGTTCAGTGTCTGGAACTGTGCAGGACATAGTAGGTGCTCATGAAAGAAAAGAAGGAAGAAAGGCAGGAAGGAAGAAGAGGGGAGCGCAAGAGAAAGAGGGAGGGAGGCGGTGAGGCGGGTAGAGGGAGCGGAACGGGAAAGGGATGGGGAGGGAGAGACAGACAAACATCCACCCAGCCGACCCCTGGGGGGACCGCCCTCTTCCCACGTGCGCGGCCTCCCAGCGGTGCGCGCCCTCCCGGCCCAGCGCATCGCTGGGCGCGGCTGGGCGGGGCCCGGACTACGCTTCCCGGCGGCCCCTGCGGCCCGGAGCCGGGGGCGGAGCCTGTTAGTGGGCGTTCCCGGGGCGTGCCCACCCCTGGGGGCG